AATGGCATGAGAAACTTGATCAAGTTTTGACAACTGGTGGATTTTCTACTGTTGAAGTAGAAAGATGTGTTTATACAAAGTTTGTGAATAGTGAATGTGTGATTATATGCTTGTATGTGGATGATATCCTGATTTTTGGCTCTAAAATGTGTGTTGTTAATGAAACAAAAAATTTTCTTTCTTCAAATTTTGATATGAAAGATATGGGTAAAGCCAAGGTAATCTTGGGTGTAAAAATCATAAGGAATGGAAATGGAATCTTGCTTTCCCAAGAACATTATGTTGAGAAAATCCTCAAAAAGTTTGGACATCTTGAAGATGTTCCTTTGAGTACTCCTTATGATTCGAGTGTGCAATTAAAAAAGCACAAGGGTGACCCAGTTGCTCAATCTGAGTATGTACAGATTATTGGGAGTCTGTTGCATTTGATGAACTTTACTAGGCCTGATATAGCTTATGCTGTAGGCAGATTGAGTAGATATACTCACTGTCCAGGCAGTAAACACTGGGAGGCTCTGGTTGAGAGTCTTGAGATATTTGAGAGGTACCATGAATTATGGTATATTGTATAGTGGATTTCCTGCTGTATTGGAAGGATACAGTGATGCTAACTGGATTTCGGATTCAGAAGAGACAAAATCCACTAGTGGTTATATATTCACACTTGGTGGTGGTGCAATAACCTGGAAGTCAGCAAAACAGACAATCAACACAAAATCCTCAAGGAATTCTGAGTTCATTGCAATGGAGCTGGCTGGGACTGAAACTGAGTAGTTGAAAAACTTCTTAGCAAGTATTCCAATAGGTGAAAAGCCCACACCATTAGTGTCTTTACATTGTGATAGCCATTCTGCAATAGCAACGGCTAAAAATAAGACCTTCAATGGCAAAAGTAGACATATTTGATTGAGACATAATATTATAAGGCAGCTGCTTAAAGACGGGATCATCTCAATCGATTATGTGAGATCAGAGTTAAATCTGGCAGATCCGTTAACTAAACCTCTAGGGAAGAAATTTATTATTGAAATGTCGAGGGGAATGGGACTTAAGCCTGTTTGAAATTAACGGTGATGGCAACCCAACCTTTGTGATTGGAGATCCTATGAAGAAGGTTCAATGGGTAAGAACAAGTCACTTGTTAGTTCTGCTAGCACTGAATTTTGTCCCTTCCTATGGCTTGAGAAAGTGCTAGAATGCATTGAACGGAGGCTGAGCGAAAGCTCTTAATATTTTCATAGTCCTTACAGATGGTGTATTCATTGCAGATACACTTGATGAAAACACCTATACAAATGTGGAGTGGGGCCGCTCCTATGAGATTGTGGCAAAATCTCTAGAGCATTTGTTAAAACCAGGCGAGCGCATGGCCGATAACGTGCAAAACTATCGTTAACAGCAGAGACTGTGGGGGTATAATCCGATTAATAAGACCTCTAGCACATGCTCAAGATCTGTTGGTTCAATAACAAAGTTACACTAATTTTTTTGTGTGCTAAGTTTTATTAGTCTAGGTTTGGTTCAAGTCGACAGACATCAAATTCAAAGTGATTATCCTCCGTGTGAATAACACAGACGAATATAGATCCTTTTGACACATGTGGGGGATTGTTGTATGTGTGTCAAAAGTGTGTGTGTGTCAAAGTCCCACATTGACTGAAGGAAGACATCTCCTAGTGAATATATACTAAGGAATGAAGTGGGCTAGTAAAATGGGCTTGGAGGAGAAGTGGCCTCGCGCACATGAGACAGGCCAACTCAGGGCAATCGCAGTTGAAATCAGCCGATTCGCCCCTCCTGCGCGCGAGTTCAAGAGGCACTGGGTTCCTTTTACCGGGTTATTTTTACAAAAAATGGTTAAATAAATAATTATTTTTGCTTACCCGAAAAACCTCTGATTTAGCTGTTTTCAAGTTGAACTTGAGGCGTTGGGCAGTTTTCTGGAAACCGAATCCTGTGCGTTAATATTTTGCCTGCCAAACGTCTCCAGGTTGAACGTTGAACATTTTTGGATTAATGGACGTGCACGTTTCTGCTGTTTAAGGTGTGTAACTGAAGCATTAATCCATGAACGTTTGTTGTTTAATGTGTGTATAACCGAAGCATTAACCGGTAATTATAACCCAACGTTTGTGTCTCATTCCTCAGCCTATAAATAGACATTGGTGCGGACAGAACAGATAGAAAAACGTTCTCGTCCTCTCCTCTGATCTTCTGTTCGTCTGTTTTCGTTCGTAGTCTCCGCTGTTTTGTTTCCTTGCTCCGCCCGCAGGAAGTGCTCGTTTAATCCTGGGGGACTGCCGGTCCATCATCCAAGTGTGCCGGAATAGTTCTTAAGGACAGTGTTCATCCGGACATGACTCGAGCAATTAGTAGCTCGCTGTTCACCTCTGCATTTGCTGTCTCCAACAGTGGTTTCATTCAAGGCTATTCGGTTGGTTTCAACCTAGATTTTTTTTGAATTCTAAAAGGATTTCTCTTAACTCTATCACTTCACTCAACTATATTGCTCCTTATTGTTTGGCTTTCTTATCTATCCCATGGATGAACATAGGGTACTTGTATTTGAAAGAAACCTTTAATTTCCACCCTGACTTTGTCATTTTTGTGATCAATTTATTTTGTGCCCTTGCTTTGAATCTTCTCATGTTTTTGCTTGTTGGGAAGACAATGGCTTTGACCACGAATGTTGCCGAAGTGGTGAAGGATTAATTGTTGATTTCTTTTTCTTAGTCTATGATAAAGGACATGGTGACGCCCATCAATTTGAGTGGCTACGAGCTTAAATTCTTAACCATGTGTTCCCTACTATTTTTAAAAAGTCTCTGCTATAAATTTCAAATTAACTGTAAGGGTAAGTATGCATTTATTTTAATTGTTCAAGATTCAAATGTATTAATTACGGGCATATGATTCAAATCACTTTTCGACATATAATTCAATGTTCAAATTACATGTTAATCTATTCATATATTACCTTTTTTTGCCTACTCACCTTACTGATTTAATCGGAGCTGGGAATGTTGGAATTGATAGGCTAAGCTGCAGGGCATAAGTTTTAAAATGTTGGAAAATAGTTTTGTGCTATTTTTTTATCAACATGTACTCAAATGTTTAAATAAAATTTAAATCTAAAATTTAGAAAGATAAATATAATCTTAAACCTTTGTCTACTTTGAAATGTCTTGCACATTTCTTGTAATTAATCTTGTTTTTAATTGGGGTGAAAGCTGACAAATATCAGCAGCATAAAAATAACGAAGATGTCACTTGATGGCCTGGCGGTGGAGTTCAAGCCAATGCCGAAACTATTCCTTGAAAGAGTGAGACCCCTCCAACCATTCATTTATATTTTCATACTATCAAAAGCTATATTACATCTATTTTAAATTATAAAATAATTTTAAAAAAATTAAACGCATTAAAATATCAAATATTTTAAAAAAATTTTATTAACAATATTTTATAATATTATTATTTTCATTATATTCTCTCCCTTTAAAAAATAAAATATTAATTAAAATTATTTTTAAAATTTTTATTTTTTTAAAAACAGGTTATAAAATATATATTTAATAAATTTTATTATTAAGTCTGATTTTGTTTAAAAGTGTTGAAAGAGTGTTATATTTTTGCAAATATTTTATCCGCACGTGATTAGAAATCACAATCATTCTTGCTATGCTTTAATCTCATAAATTCATCATTATCCTTTTTCTCAGTTATTAACATTAATAGTGAGTATATAATTACTTATTAAAAGTTAAATCAAAGTTAAAGACAGCGATGTTTTTTTTTCTTTTTAAATATAGAGACGTTGATGTTGTATCATAATATGAGCAATCTTTTAGGGTAACGACAAACATAAGGGTTCTGAATGTCTATTTTAATTTTGAAAAAAGAAAAACCTAAACACATCTTGTAAACGAAGCCAAAACGGACTTGTCAATAGCCATCCACAAAAGCTTTGTAGTTCGTACACGGGTCGCAAGTCACCGGTCATTTATCGCTTTCTCTCTCGCCACCCAAACAAAAAACAAAATGAGATACGTGTGTCATGTTTTGGAGGAAATCAATTATCTAATCATTTAACTATGATACTACATGTTTACTTCAAATTTTCAAATCCAGTAAACATAAAAATTAATTGTAAATAATTTTGTTTATAATTTTAGTTAAATTACTTAAGTTTTCCTAAATTTATTATATATGCAAGTCATCATTTGAATATATTTTATTAATAATAAAAAATATAGTTAATTTTTATAATTTAAAAATACATAATCTACTTCTATAAAAAGTAATTATAAATTCCATATCATGAATCAAAATATAAATTTTTACTAAAAAAAGTGTTTATATTTAATATCCAGTCATATTTTAAACAAGACTGCTTCTACTAAAAGGATATATATAAATGATAAAAAAATTAATTATAAATTAAAATATTTTTACAATTTAAATATGTATTTATATTAATTTTATATTTTAAAAATATTAATAAATCAATATACCCTCCGTCATAAATTATAACACACTCTTTAAAAAAGTTATCATTTAAAAATATAAGATACTTTAAAAAAATTAAGATTTTATTAAATAATTTTTTTTTAATATTACTCTTTCTCTCTCTTTAATATTAATTAAGAGTAGATTTAAGATTATTAAATAAATAATATTTTTAAAAATTTATATTTATATTTTTTAAAAAATAAAATTATTAAGTGTATTTTATAAAATTTTATTTAAAAATATATTACAATTTGAGATAATACAAAATTTTTGGCCAATGTACATTTTAATTTCCGAAGAAAGGATAATTTAATAATATATGCATGGGATTGAGAAATAAATAAGGGGGGCGGGACCCACATAAACAGTTTAATTCGGCCGCCTGCTTTGTCGTCTCCCTCGTCTCCGTTCATCCATCCCCGTCGCTCCTCTGCGTTTGACCCTCCTCTTCCTATTTCTCTCCTCTCTCTGTCCGTTTCTCCCTGCACTGCTCCCTGTGAACTTTCTTGCTCTCTCATCCTTCCCCCCCCCCCCCACCTCTCTCTCTCTGTGTCTGAAATCGTTGAACTTTCTCAGCTCCTTTTGTTCCCTTTGTCCAGATAGTCGTGTCTCTTCTTCTCAAGTCACCTAAATCCCGCTTTCCATCACAAGACCCACATCCTACTCCTCTACTTCCTCTCATTTCATCGCTTAAATCCCCTTTTCATCGTCTTCTCGTTGTCTTCAAATTCCTATAATTATTATGAGGAGGCATAAAAGGGTGCCTCTTCCTGCCTGGCTTGCTCTTGTTGTCTAGGTGTCTTCTGTGCTTTCCCTTCATCTTCTGCTGTGTCCTTAGGGAGATAAACAGACATGGCTGGTGGCAATGAACTCAACCTCAATGAATCCAAGGTACCTACCTTCCTTTTATCTGTATCATTGGACATGACATTTTGGTATTTTGACAGAAAAAAGATGTTCTGGTTGAGCTTGTCCCTTGCCTGCTTCTTTCTTTTCTACTCCCATCTTTTCCTTGTCTAATTATGTGATGCGGGTCCTGATGATCTCAAGTTTATGGAGAAAGTTTTGATCTTTTAACTTTAATTGCAAGGGCTTGATGATGCGTCTGTCTCTCTCTGATCGCTGGCGGTGTTTTTCTTCATGGTTTTATTAAATAAGATGATGATATGATTCATGAGTCGGTTTGAATTTTTTTTTTCCCTTGTACTTTCCATTTCTTCTATGTAGGCCACGGTTTCTTGTTCCGGTAAGTTGGAAAACTCGAGTTTCATTTGGTGCGACAAGCTGAAAGTTCTGATCTTTCTTTTGGTGATTGTGAGTTTTCTTTAGGGATACATCCGTTTGTTTTACTTTCTCTGCATTAATTTCCCATTTCTCTTTCTCATTAACATTTCTGGATCGTCGTCTGATCAATATAGTCAAACTGCAGTTCAATAAATCTCTGATTAACGTTCTAATCACCAAAACCTACATTCTTGGCTTTTGCTGTAGTGTATTGTTCCACTCAACACCTGGGTTCTCATCTCCAATTTCAAGCTGGCCTACAATCTTCTTCGTCGCGCAGATGGAACATTGAACCGCGAGCTTGCCGAGTTCCTTGATCGGAAGGTCCCTGCCAACACAATTCCAGTCGACGGAGTATTCTCTTTTGATCACGTCGATCGAAACACTGGCCTGTTCAATCGAGTTTATCAACCAGCTCCTGATAACGAGGCTAAGTGGGGCTACATAGAGCTCGAAAAGCCCTTGAGTACCACCAAGGTTGTCCCTGTCATCATTTTCTTCCATGGCGGAAGCTTCTCTCATTCCTCCGCGAATAGCGCCATTTACGACACTTTCTGCCGCCGCCTGGTCAACATTTGCAAGGCCGTTGTAGTCTCCGTGAACTACCGTCGTTCGCCGGAACACCGGTACCCCTGCGCCTACGAAGATGGCTGGGCTGCACTAAAATGGGTGAAATCAAGAACATGGCTTCAAAGCGGAACAGATCCCAAGGTTCATGTGTACCTAGCCGGGGATAGTTCTGGAGGCAACATTGTTCATCATGTGGCGGAGAGGGCAGCCGAGGAGGATGTTGAGATTCTGGGTAACATTCTTCTTCATCCATTGTTTGGCGGAGAGAAGAGGACGGAGTCAGAGAAGAGACTGGATGGGAGGTACTTCGTGAGATTGCAAGACCGTGATTGGTATTGGAGGGCTTTTCTTCCTGAAGGTGAAGATAGAGACCACCCTGCGTGTAACCCTTTTGGCCCCAGAGGAAAAAGTCTCAGGGGACTCGAGTTCCCTAAAAGTCTTGTTTGTGTGGCTGGTTTGGACCTTCTCCAAGATTGGCAATTCGCATATGTAGAAGGTCTCAAGGATTCGGGTCAAGATGTCAGACTCCTTTTCCTGAAAGAAGCTACGATCGGTTTCTACTTCCTGCCAAATAATGATCATTTCTATTGCCTCATGGAGGAGATAAACAAGTTCGTCAATTCAGACGGTTAATAAACCACCACTTAACCTTACCTGCTACAACAAGGCCATACATAACAAAAGCGCCACACTTCACATGGGTTCTATTTTTGTATCATCTTTTTCTCTTTGCTACTTTATAAATATGGTGTGTAGTTACTAGTTATAAAAATTGCTATAGTAAACATCCATGGCGGTCAATTTGAGAGTTCTGAAACTCCGGGACTCTTGTCTGTTATCTGCCCATGTCTCTCTGAAGGGTAGTTTCAGCAGTTTGAAGTAGAAAGCTCTGTTCAGTCAGGTGGGGGGTTCATCAAGCTTGCCCTGCTCATCCTTAGTGACCATAATCACTGAAGGAAGATAGAGGATGAAGCTTGGTAGTCGGTCACTTTGGGTTAAGGAAACGGGGTTCCTATCGTAGCACTAATTTCTTAATGTAAAGTGGAGCAAATCCCATATTATTATTATTATTATTATCATTATGGACTTGTATCTTATATGGCTTTACCTTGTAGTTTTATCGAGCTGTTAACATTATACGCAGTTATTCTTACTGTTTTACACTGTATCCTGCGATATTAAATTGTCTCAACTCCACGGCTGTCACACAGCTCTTTCCTTTTCCTTGTACTAATGTTACATCTTAATGTCATCGGGATGAGTCGTGTCCGAAGCATTATTCATCACCAGCCATACTGTAGTTAAAGTTCTTGATTCATTCTCTGGTTCCCCTCTCTCTCTCTCTGGGCAATTACGTTGGTCAGGTCAAGTCGCCTCGAAAAGTTGATACACATGTTGGTAAAGAGGAACAAGGTCGTTTGTTGGGCGTAGTTAGGGAACTGTTAAAGAGTAATGAAGGGGCTAGTGGGGGAGAAAAGCCAAAGCCCTCCATGAACAGAAGAAGACATGAATAACGTCAAGAGAAAGAAGAATGATGGGTAGGAGATTAAAGATTGAATCAATATGGGAATTCGCCATCTTTCACTTTCAAGTTTCAACATCGAAGTGGAGTAATTCTTGTCATCTCCTCAATGCCCTATTGTAGAGAGGCGTGTTTGGAGCCTGGGAAAACAGCAAAAACAGGAATTTGGCTTTGTTTTGATGAGGGGAAACCCATTTCTGGTAGTGGTTGCGACTCTTGGATGTATTCTCGGGGACCACTTCTAGGAACCCACAAAACCCCACAAGCGTCCAAACAAAACAAGAGATGGAAAAAAACAGTTATAACACTGAGGTTTGAGATTACTTTGAAGTCTAAAACTGTGATATTTAAATGGTCACTAAACGTGGTAGGCACACCTAGGTTGGGACAAAGGACATGGAACGGTGTCTTTTTATTGACTTTGTTGGGCTCCTCTGGCATCATAGAAAACCATAATTTTTTCCTTGACAGCGAGCAACACTGAAAAGCTTTGGGATTTTTCCTTCAACTTTTCTTGTGCAGATTATGCCTGCAGTTGTGCGTGTCTTATTATGGGGTGTCCTTAGTAAATTAGCTGTTTATGTCTTGAAATTATTCCGCAAAACGACAGAGAGGGAGGTCGTTGTCGAGAAATGGGGCTTCTCTTTATTGACAAAAGAAAGGCTTCATCTGTTTGGTCAGTAGTGAGTAACTTGCTTTTTTAAAAGCATTAATTAAACTACGTCACTTGCTTCTTGTTTGCGCGTTTTCACCATTTCCATTTCATTATTCTTCCATTCACCCTCTCATTAATGCCTTTTTGTTCCTTTATCTTCATATCTTACTTCTTCCCTCAAACACTCTTTTACCTCTTTATTTATTTCTGGGTAGGTTATGAAAATCTGAATTAACTTACCTGGTTTAAATCAGTGTCTTAACTGATTTAATAAATTACTTTATTTATAATTAATTTAATTATAATTTAATTATAATTTTAATCATTAACCTTTGAACTAGTATCTTGATCAATTTAAATATTACTTTTTTGTCATTTAAAACTCAGAAAGTTTCTCATGCTTATTTCTTTCAAGTCTTAATAGTTAAATCATATTCAAGTATATGAATTTTATATTGGACACTGCTCTAGTTGTTTATATTCTTATCCTATGGCATTTTAAAATCTGGTGCGGGAATCTGGAATTATTTTAAGCCGCGCGGTCAACAGTTGGTGATTTGGAAAATGGAAGCTAAGCCTTATCCTTTGAATAGCTTAGTTATTAAGCCATTGATGTGCCTGTATTTTCAAACTGTTGGTGACACTTGGCCTCCTAAAAGCAGATCGATTCGGAAACAACTTAACAATGGGAAAGCAAAATATATACGCAATGTGATATTTCTTTTTGTGTGATGGGTTCATGGTGGAGATGCAAAGCAGTGTATGAATACAAAATATCATGACCACATATGAAGTGACTGAATTTGTGGCTTGTAGGAAGGAACACGAGAACATACAAAAAGTGGGATGGTGGTAGGTATGATTACGGAGGGAAGCACGAGGAAGAGGATGTTGAGGAAATACGAAGAGGGTGGTCACAAGAAAACATGGCAACAAACAAACAAACGTAGCTCCCACTCGTTACCTTTGAAAATAAAAAGGCCATCTTTTCTTATTTTGTCGGTGCACTGCATTGCTGTGCTTTTTTTCACCTCTTTTGCTTTCATGCCTATCCTCGACTCTTTTCATCCTCTTTTCTCGTTCTTAATTCAAATCTCAATTCCCTGCGTATTTGTGCTTGATATGTGAGGAGAGAACAAATGAACGAAAAGTAATAGAACGGACAGTACATCTTGATTTAAAATTTTAAATTAAAGCTCAAATTTATAAATTGTTTTACCTTATTTAATATTATTTATTGAGTTTAGTTTCATTCAATTCCTATATGGATTCAAATTCACTTTTATTTGGACGGCTTAACATGTATAATCATTATTGAAAAATATTGAAAAAGAAACCATTCATGAAGTGTTGACTGATTTATGTCAATCAAAGGAGGTGAGAATGTGATTTAAGGAAACAATAACTTCATCAATTTAGTTTGACATTTGCTGGTGAAAAAATAAACCCCCCCCAGCACAAACAATTTATTCAAAGTAACAATTATTTTATCGGCCAGATAAGGGAATCCACGCCCCTTGTCAACCACATGAGAAACAATAAGATAAAAACAAATAAAATTGTTTTAACTGCTCTCATTAAAAAAAAAAAAAATTGTTCTAACTGCCACAGAATACATGGCTTAAAACTCGCCAGCTTATGTTACTGGATTTAAGGAGTTAATGACCCGAGTGGGCCTGAGGTTGGGCCCATTTTGATAGTTCCTTGTTCAGCCCAATGACTATAAATATCCTCGGCCCAAAGAAACAACAAAAGAGCAACAACCAAGCTTCCCAGCACGCACGCCATGATTCATGAAATCAAATCCCCTAAGAATTGGATCGAAGCCCCACCTGAAGTTTCGTCTATGTTTTACCAAATAAGGCGTTCTGAACCAAACTCATACATATTTTCAGTAAAACTTCATGCATATTGGCCTGTGCTTAAAAATGGTTGTTCTAGTCTGCTTTCATTTTTCAACGTCACGAAAGAGTTTGCCTTTGCCTTTGACATCCATGTTCGCCAAAATACTTGCTCATGTTTCCCTTCGATCCTTTTTAATGTTTATAAGAACAACTTTAAAATGCCTGTTAATTTAATTCCTAAACCCCGCCCTCGTGAAATCTGACAAATTTATGTGTAAAAGCATACTTGTCATTGGCTTAATGCGAGTCAATGTGAAAACCAAACGCTTGTAGGATTAGCACGTAGCAAATATGATTTAAACCTTTTCTTGTTTTTTCCCCTCAAAACAACCCTCCCAAACAATTGAATGCAAGACTAATCTATCATCGGGCAAGAGCACAACGGGTTGGACTGTCGGTTCTGGGATTGAAATATATGAACATATTATCGAATTCTTAATTGAAAGATTAAACTGCCAATAGTATAGCAATGCCATCTCAAATTAGAAAGAATTAACTTGTTTCATAATGAAATGGAGATTAAAAGGGTCCCGAGCCCATACTGAACGAAGGGCAATTATACGACCCCAGACAACTCAAACTCTTGCCATTCACGCATGCTTGTGTGTGTTTGGCCAGACACACTGATGAAAAGTTAGCGATATCAGCTCTAAAGCTGGACTGCAGCTTAATATGCTTTCTAGCTTTGATTCACCAACGATCAACTCTCATCCAGGCACTATTACAAAGATGCCACAATGCTACTTAGTATCATTATGGTTGATCCCTACTCCAAATCATGGTCGTTCCAAATGTAGTTGACCTATTAAACATCATCCATGCTCTTGAAAAGTTCCACAACTTGAAGCTTTTCATAGTCTCTGAACCGAAGCAACATCTGCACTATTTCATCCAATTGTAGTTTTTACAGGATTCCATGATTATGAACATTGAATTATTGGCAGACAAGCGATATCAGCCTAGGTGGAATGGGGATCCGATTTAGGATTCTGGAGGCAACACCCTTCATCTGCCAAAGACTGCACCTATACAGCAACTCCACAATAATTGATGCCTGCAAGTCAAACCAGCATTTTTTTTTTTGGTTTTGTTTTGGAGAAGGGGGAGTAATGGGCAAACACATTCAGTTTACCAATTAGTTTTTTTTTTTTAAATGAAAAAAGTACAACTAGACGGGGGACAAGATTTCTTCCAAGGCAGAAAACAAAGCCGTCCGATCTCCACAGCATTATGCACCAGAGCATTAAAAAAAATTGGGGTTTAAGTAAAAACGCAGCTCCTTCATAAAAGCTCGTAAGTGACACACTTCGAGAAAAGAGGCATACATATAAACTGTTTAAGACCCCCATGCCACAGAGATGGTTGTACATTAGAAGCAATGAAGAGCTTTGCTCAAGCATTGGCACGAATATCCATTAAATGTATTCCCATCACGAAACATACTGCAGGGGGTTGCGTATTGATGTCCAGCAGCACAGATGCATTCAGCAGACCAATGTAAAGATATTCATTACACAATTAATTCATCTATCTGTGGGTCGCCAATAATGCTCCAAAAAATGTTTTTTACCATGGGACTGCACTCACTGGAAAATCAAATCCATGCTTGCACATGAGTCCCAATATTTTCCCAACCTTGGACCATTGATCACAACTTACATAAGCTTTATACAAAATCCACAATGTTTTCTTTGTCAAACTCAAGTTGACACCTACCATCTCATTCAGGACACTTCCAATTTCCTCAAAGCGCTTTTGTGATCCATACATGACCATCTTACAACGGTATAAGGAGAGGCAAATTTTCCAGTTGGAACATTCAGCACGCCTCAAAAAATTTTCTAACCTGTCCACTAAGTTTTTCCTAAAATAAGTCGCAGTGATGCATCTCATTATACCACTTGTTCTTACTAAGACTTTGTGCTCAAATGCATCATTGAGTTCTCCAGTTCCTCTAAGGAGTGCTCTTGTGCATAAAGCCTAATTAACAACACATTTAGCCATGCCCTGTACTCCTTTTCCAGAATCAACACCAGTAATTCCTGTATCTTCTTCACTCTATCAGGCTCGGAACTTTTACTATATGCACACATCATGCACCTGATCAAAGGAATTTCATTCTCATTGACATAATCCCTCACTAACTGATATGTCTCTTCCATCTTCTTCAGATTACCTGAATTAGCATGCCCACGTATCATCAGCAGGTATGAGTGTCAGGTATAAAAGGGTTTGACTTTAGCACTTGAAAAGTTTTTCCCATTCTATCCCACCTCCAGGCTGTAACATACCCAGCAATCAAATAATTATAAGTGCTTATATTCGGGGAGAGGCCTGAATTATGTAGCTCCTCAAATATTGCTTCCATACGATCTATGAGCATCAAGCGGCCAAAAACAGAAATAAGAATATTGTAGGTTATTACGTTAGGGCTACAAGTTTCAACCATCTTCATCCGCACAAATAATGACCGGCATTTCCCAGGAAGACCATTTAACATCTGAGCAGCCATCAGCGAATTATAAATACCTGTTGTTTTTATTTGCTTGTTTGCAGCTTCATTAAACAGGTCAACTGTAAGATCAATATTTCTAGATCTACCTGCAACTTTGATACCCTTAGAGTACTCGGAAGGAGCCATGGGAGTGCCAAGAAACTTTTATGGTCCAATATAAAACCTGAACGTTAAGACGGATAAACAGAAGAAAAAGTCAGCAGAAGAATTTTAAATTTTTATTTGAATTAGGTTTAAAATAACACCACTATACGGTTGTTGTCAGTTGTCACCTATCACCAACTTGAAATGTCCTGCCACACTTAAAAAACCTTAATATCTCGCCTAATATCCAAGTCAATTTTGCGGATCTAAATAGTACTAGTGGACAGAACTGAAAACATGTAACAAGAACCGAACAAGGCCTCATATCATGGTCACGTACCACTCAGAACTTATAGTTTCTCTTCTCGAGTGTCCAAATATGCTGAAGAGCATTCATTCACGAATTTGCAAGTGAAAACACGTATTTCTCATACAAATGTTATACAATACTCCAAGTGTGTGTCCACACTTTCAAGAGATATAGACGAAGTAAAAGTGGGACACACTAATTCTACCCATCAAATTAGACATGAAATCAGATCAACTGCATCTGTTGAAATTCAAATATACCATTAGAGACAAGTGAGACCATGATTCCATCACATCCAAAAGATCAACAAGGGCTGTCCCATCAGGACACCTCCAAAACAAAAACTGAGAATTCTTCTCCAAAACATTAAGAACTACACTAGGGTCATCGGCTACCCGAACCAATTTACATGCCAAGTTCATAACTTCCCTTTTGAAATCCTCTCTGGCTATCCAATTATGGAAATAGGGATTGTAGGAGAATAAACCAACGATCTCACGGAGCATGGAATGTTCGGAGGATTGAGTGTAGGTATTGACTTGGGTGGTGCATACGTAATTTGCAGAGCTTAGGAGGAAGATAGGAAAGGGGATAAGGGGTTTTGGTTTTGCAGAGGTTCTGTGGAAGCAGAACAACTCTGCTTGGGCTGCGTTGGAGAGTTTCCATGTGTGCTTCATCGTCTGGTGAGGGCAGTGCTGACCATTTTAGGGTTTCTGGGAGATGCATTGGCCGCCACAAATGGCAAGGGAAGGGCTTCTCAGATTTGGATCCAGATGGGCTTTGGCCGAAGGGAGACAGCTGTTTCACCAAGAAGTACAAAAACTATCAAACTAGCAGCTTAGCTGCTTGAAGAATTAAGACAGGCTTCTCTATTACCATCAGTTCTCTGGAACTCCTTCCCCTGTTTTCAAAACTCAATTGCCTGCCTCAAGAATAAGACTTGCTCAAAAGAAATACGTCTAAGCTGGACACAGAGATTAAACATAATGCTATTGCTATGGATGATTATGCTCCTCAGTCCTGAGGCCAATAATATTATGCGCAGCAAGATCATCAATGGTATAAAGCAGTTAAAGCACCGTTATCTTATACGGACTCACTAATAGGCTACAATGGTTGCTACATTGAAATTAAAAAAAATTACAAATTTTCAGCATTCTCACACACATTGTGAGAAATCTGAAAAATCATTTATACATATAGTAAATTTTACATACGGTAAAGTGCGATGATACAAGCTGGCATCAATTAAAAGGAAACAAATAATATTTTTTTACAAGAAAGTAAAATCATCTTTGGAAATAGTTACACTCCAAGTCAATAGACCTTAAACTTTAATTCTTGAAAATTAAGGAGCCACCACACCACACTGTTCATTAAGCTTCTCATCCTGAAAATAGAGATGAGTATGAACATCTTAGATATTAAGAATAAGAGTAATAAGATAAATATATAATATAAGTAGAAGTTTTAATTTGGACGGAAGCATAACCAAAGTAGAAGTTTATTTAAAGTATAATTACACAATTATACAATCTAAAAGACTAGCAAACTAATCCTCAGAGCAAGAAAAGAACTTTCTGAATTGATTAAAAAAAAAAAAAGACATACACTATACACATAAGAGATGTGTCATGTGTTAAGACAAAAAGGAAATTCTTGCATATCATCATTGCAGACTAGCATATATATGTTGTGGATTCACGTGTAAAAATATTGGTTAATCAATAATCAATTTTGAATAGACGCTTTTTCATAAAAGAGCACACAGGCCAACTCATACACACTGTGCAACCCTGAATATCCCCTTAAATGGGAGATAATACCATAACAATTTGTGACATGAAAGATGTACCATTAAGAGATAATGCATTATCAGTTGATTCTTTTCACATGAACTCCAATATGGATCAAGCAATATGGGTGAATACAGAGATGAAAAAGAATAGTAACGAGTGAAACAGTCATTACACTAAAAAAAAAAAAAAGAGCAAATTCAACATACCCAAGGTGCCAAGACTTCCCCGCTCAAATCAAAGGAGCCAAAGACATCACATTACTAACAGAACGGGTCTGGAACATCAACCAAAAAGTTTTGAAAAACATAGCAAAAAGGTGTAACTCATTTATAATTAGAAAACCAGAAATATAACTTCAACCATATTTTAAATGAATCAAGAAGAATTTCTTTAAATAATATTTAGCACTAACCAGAAGCTTTTATGTCTTCTGAGGATCTTTTTCAACAGTAAGAGAAGAGTTGGCCCGTCGAATGCCATGATTTTGAATAAAAAAGAATGAGCAATAATAAAAGCTCCAACATATAAAGAGGATGCAAATATGAATGTTGTCACCTTAATGGTCAGTGCTTATACAAGGTCAGTTTCTACTGTTATTTCTAGACTAGGGCTCTTGGATTGTATACCAAAACAATTGCCATTATTGAAAAGAATAATTGCTGCAACAACTTGAGGGTGGATGAGCTTTAATCAAATTAAGGATAAGGATTTCAACCACAGAAGGAGAGAGAACTCACTGAGAAGGGAGGGAACTTTGGAAATTGGGGATTTTCGAAGAAGTAAAGAACAGCGTGAGAATGGTCTTCGAACGCGAACACAAGACCGGAGCTGAGAACGGCGAGTGGAAAAGGAATCAGATGCAACTGCGATCACGGCGCTGAGGTTGAGCGGCAGCGAGCGTGGCGGTAGCTGAGACAGCGAGTTAAGTGACTGAGGGCTTGAGCGTTAGATGGAGTGCTAGAGGTTGAGGGACAATGACAGATAGATTCAAAAGGATAAATTAATTCATATCAAGTTTCAAGGTTCGAGAATTTATAAGTTCATTCAATTTTTAAATTTTATTACGATACAATTTATAACTTATGTTTCAATTTCCAAATTTTAATGTGAGTTAATATGTCTCATTAGGACCTCTATATTATCCTTCCTAAAATAAACCCGCCGGTTTCATAAAAAAAAAAAGAAGAAGAAGAAGAGGAAGAGAAAATCAAACTTAAATTCCTCACAACAAATATAACTACTATCAAACCCCACCAAGTGGCAAAAATATTGTGTAATCCTTTGATTCTTATTTGGCAAAAAAAAAAAATTCCTTTGATTCTTATATGTGAATATGTTTGCAAGCAAGATGATCCATTTATCCTAATTGAATTAATAGGAAAGAATGAAGAAAAGAGAGGCGTTCATGTGTGATGGACAAGAAAAAAAAAAATTAGGTAACAATAAGTTGAGGTTTGAATGGCTAGGCTGAAGTTGAGAAGGAGAATTGAAGCAAGGGCATATTCAATCCATTTCCATGCATATCAATTCTTAATATTAGTTTTTGATGGCTCTAGATGTTTTGGGGTCTTTTGGTAATAGTTTCAGTGAGTCTTTTATATGTTTATCAATAGCCACTTAAAGAAGAATATTGGAGGGGTCTCATCTCAAATTAATATATTTGCTTTTGTTCATGAGTCTAATAAGGTTTCTCTCTTTCCCTCTCTCTCACTACCTTAACCTGTAACACCCTCAAATTTACAGACCGATTTTTCGCAAATTATTAAAACCATTATCATGGTAGAAAAATTTCTACCACGATACATCCAAGACAATATACCACAGGTCTTAAAATATCTCAAAAAAAACAATTAGAACCATGAGGGACAGACATGATCCTCATAGCATGTTATTTAAATTAGGTCATGAATCAAAAGGGACAGACATAATCCTCTTGGACATATAAATGCATTTAATAAAAAGGATTAGAGTTTACATGCTCCATAGACAAGATATGTCCTAAGTTGGCACAAGATACATTGTATAATCCAAAATAAGAGGCAACGTAAAAGATGGTGTCTCATACACCATAATTACACCTCTGGTGCTTTCTCGGCCGGATTCGCTCCTGTAAAAATATTAACCACGGGGAATGAGACTTAAAAGTCTCAGTAACCAAAAATTAATATGTAATGATGCATGCGGATGTAACTAATCATGCGATTGCTAAGTGGGCACACAAAACATTTAACCGAACAATATTTTCAAACAAACCGAACAAGTATTTAATTGCATGACTGCACCTTATATCCTCCTTTCACCATGCTCGGACGCCAAATCACCCGGCCAAAGGTGAGTTGGACCAAGCGACACGCCACTCATTGGGTCCAATGAGGGCTTACCACGTGGTAATAATTAACCGAACAGAAATTCCCATTAACACCATACATTAAAATACCCTGACAAGTCATGCATCATTCAAATATCCAAACAGGAATATATCCGAACAATAATATCTCATCATGATAAACAAAAATAAATTTTTAACCCACTTGGCAATAATTTCAAACAAGTATATACAGTATTTATTTTCAATAATTCATAATTTTTCCAAACAACAAAACAACACATAACCATTCACAAACACACTCATCACAACACATTAATAATGGTTACCTTGTGTCTTGAATAACAAGTTCCCCTTCACAACTCCTTTTTCACCACTATCTTTGTCAATATAATCTACATAATTATTTCACAATACTATATATTAATTTTACATTAAAATAAATAACTCTAATTTAAAGAGTTAGAAAGTCTTAAATCTATAGTCCATATTAACACTAATTTAAGATTTATGCCTTATTTAACTTCCCAAATTCTTTTCTAAAATTCTCGTACCCTAATGAACTATTTTTTTTTATCCTCAATTCACTTCTAGTATCGCAATTTCATCCTTCTACATTCTAAAAATTCATCTAAAATAAATTAAAAATTTTAGAATTATCCTGAAGCCTCAAATCACCTTTCTATAACCTCAAAAATACCTATTCATACTTAAATAAATATTTAATAATCATAGATTTATCCCTACATCTCAGATTCCACATAAATTCAACCATATAGATCTAGATTTTAACTCAAAAATTCTTAAACATGAGTTTCAACCTTAAGAAAATATTCTATAATATTTACTATATCCCTAAGAATTTTAACCTATATTTTTAATCCATCATATCATCAGATTAACTATCCTATAGAAAAATCCTAATCAAAATATTTACTCTATCCTACAAAATAATCATATCACTAGAAAGCTAATATTATTTAGAAAATAACTATAAAATTAATTTTGTAATTAAATAAATTTTTAAATGCTAATCTAAACAGGAAAGTTAGAACATACCTGAAGAAAAAAGAAAATAATCCCCCCTTGCGAGAAAACGCCGAGCAACGTGAGAGGAAGAGAGAAAAATAATATAAAAATGGGATTGTGAGTCCCAAAATTATATTAAAAAAAAAACTATAGGTTTGAATTTAATTATTCAAACCTTTGGGCCCAAAGTTGCAATTTTCTCTAAATTGCATCTTAGCCTCTCATGCTTCCTAATGCACACACCCCCTCCTTTTTATACATGAAGGCACCTCTTCTCTTCCCTCATCTAACCAATGTGGGACTTAGAAACAACAACCTTCCACCCCCCCTTTTTTTTGTTCCTTCTACCTTCTCTTTTTTTTTTTAACACACACAAAAAAAATTATTTATGTATTATATCTTAACTAAATATTGCTTATGTGGTTTTAAATTTAAATTTTTAAATTCATAATTAAATACCTAATCATAATATTATTTCTAAATAACCTCAAATAATATAAATTCCTATTATTATCATTTTTTTTCTCAAAACCTAAATTCCACAATTTCTTTATTATATAAAAATCAGGATGTTACAATTCTCCCCTCCTTTTAGAAATTTTGTCCTCAAAATTTAATAGATAAGCTTAGAAACTATGTACCTAAGCAAATAAATGTGGATAATCTCGCCTCATACTCTCCTCGGTCTCCCAAGTAGCATCACCTAGGGCTCCACCCTTCCAAATCACCTTCACGAGTCGGATGGTCTTATTGCGTAGTTGTTTGTCCTTAAAGTCCTCAATTCGCTCCGGTTCGGATCTAAAGGTCAAATTCTCCCTCAATTCTACTTCTTCAGGTTCAATAACATGGGAGGGATCCGGGTTGTACTTCTTCAACTGTGATACGTGGAACACATTATGGATACCTGCAATCTGTGGAGGTAATGCAACTCTATATGCAGTAGATCCAATTCGCTCCAAGATCTCATACGGGCCCATAAATCTAGGTGTCAATTTCTTTGCCTTAATGGATCTACCAATGCCTGTCACTGGAGAAACCTTCAAAAATACATGATCTCCTACTTCAAACTCTAACGGCCGTCTCCTCTTATCAGCATAGCTCTTCTGTCGGCTCTGAGCGGTTAGCAATTTTTGCTTAATCATTGCAATCTTCTGGGTGGTTGCTCTACAATTTCTGGACCAATGATACTCCTCTCACTTAATTCTGTCCAACATAAAGGCGATCTACACTTCCTTCCATACAAGGCCTCATAAGGCGCCATCCCAATACTAGAATGATAGCTGTTATTATAAGCAAATTCAGCTAATGGCAAATGATTATCCCAACTACCTGGTAGTTCAATGGCACAAGCTCTCAACATGTCCTCCAAAGTCTGGATCGTCCTCTCTGTTTGTCCATCTGTTTGGGGGTGGTATGCGGTGCTAAAACTCAGTCTGGTACCCATAGCCTTCTGTAGCGCACCCCAAAAGTTTGAAGTGAACCTTGGGTCACGATCTGACACAATTCTAGAGGGTATACCATGAAGTCTAACTATCTCCTTAATGTATATCTCAGCAAATTTCTCTAATGTAGAGGTAAACTTGATCGCCAAAAAGTGAGCTGATTTGGTGAGTCGGTCTACTATCACCCAAATAGCATCCTTACTCGAGGGTGTTCTTGGCAGTCCAGTGATGAAATCCATAGAAATATCATCCCATTTCCACTTTGGAATATCTAACGGTTGCAGTGTTCCAGCTGGCTTCTGATGTTCTATCTTTATCTTCTGACACGTTAAACATCTAGAAACAAATTCAGTTACATCTTTCTTCATTCCTGGCCACCACCAACCTCGCTTCAAATCATGGTACATTTTAGTTATACCGGGATGAATTGTATATTTGCTCCTATGAGCTTCTTCTAAAAGGATATTCCTCAATCTTGGATCATTAGGTACACAAACTCTACCTTTATACTTCATCACTGTGTCCTCAGAGATGGTAAAATTTGGGGCCTTACCTACCACTATCTCCTTCCTTATATTCCTTAAGTAGTCATCACTTTGCTGTGAGACTCTGAGATCTTCCCAGAATTTGCTCTCAAAGTCTGCTACCTGGAGTGCGGCCATTTGATGTTCAATCACATCTACTGGAACATCATGAAAACTGTTCCATAAATGATATTCATGAACCATCAAATGTGCAGCATGAATAGTCTTTCTACTTAAGGCATCAGCTACCACGTTAGCCTTACCCGGATGGTAATGTAATTCAAAGTCATAATCCTTTAGAAATTCCATCCATCGTCGCTGCCTCATATTAAGCTCTTTTTGATCAAATAAATACTTCAGGCTCTTATGGTCACTGAAGATTTGAAACTTAGATCCATACAAGTAGTGTCTCCATATCTTTAGAGCAAACACAACTGCAGCTAACTCCAAATCATGAGTAGGGTAATTTTCCTCGTGTGGTCTCAACTGTCTGGAGGAATAGGCAACCACTCGGTCATTTTGCATCAAAACACATCCTAAACCCTTTAAAGAAGCATCAGTGTACAGAGTGTACGGCACCACAGGGTCAGGAATAGTCAATACTGGAGTAGTGGTTAACCTCTTTTTCAATTCTTGGAAAGCAGCTTCACATTTGTCAGTCCAAATAAATGGGGCATCCTTCTTAGTCAGCTTAGTTAAGGGCATCGCAATTTGCGAAAATCCCTTAATAAAGCGACGATAATAACCTGCTAAACCTAAAAAGCTTCGTATCTCTGTAACAGATTTTGGCTGTTCCCACTTCATCACTGCATCAATCTTGCTAGGATCCACCGCAACTCCATCTCTGGACACAACATGGCCCAAAAACTTTACTTCTTGGAGCCAAAATTCACACTTGCTTAATTTGGCATAAAGCTTATGTTCCCTCAAAACTTGCAAGACGATTCTTAAATGTTCACCATGAGCCTCCTCATCCTTTGAATAAATAAGAATGTCATCAATAAACACTACTACAAACTTATCTAAATAGGGTCGAAAGATCCTATTCATGTAATCCATGAATACCGCAGGAGCATTCGTAAGTCCAAACGGCATCACCATGAATTCATAATGCCCATATCTCGTCCGAAATGCTGTCTTAGGTATATCCTCTGCTCTCACTCTCAATTGGTGGTACCCTGACCTTAAGTCAATCTTTGAGAAAACTGCGGATCCCACAAGCTGATCCAGCAAATCATCGATTCTCGGAAGTGGATATTTGTTCTTGATGGTTACTTTGTTCAATTGTCTATAATCAATGCACAATCGGAGGCTTCCGTCCTTCTTCTTTACAAAAAGGACTGGAGATCCCCAAGGTGAAACACTCGGTCTGATGAAACCCTTCTCAAGTAGCTCTTCGATTTGCTTTTTCAGTTCCGCTAACTCTGAAGGGGACATCCGATAAGGAGCCTTAGAAATTGGCCCTGTACCGGGTACCAATTCAATTGAGAACTCTACCTCGCGCTTTGGGGGTAAACCGGAGACTTCGTCTGGAAATACATCCGCAAATTCTTTGACAATTGGGATATTCTTCACGCCTTCATCAATCTCAGCTTGGATAGAGAAGAAAACCATGTAGGCCTGGCAACCCTTCTTCATACATCTATCAACTTGCGCCGCCGACAAGAAAACATGATCTTGAGTCTCGACTGGGGTCACCGACAAAGAAGATAAAGACACACTCCTCTCTCTACAATCTAGGATAGCACCATTTGCAGCCATCCAATTCATTCCCACAATTACATCCATACCTCTCAGTGGTAGGATAATTAAGTCCATAGTTGTTTTCCTATTTTTAAACTCGACTACTAGGTTAAGGCATGCCTTAGCGGTCCTCACAGATTCTCCCGCAGGAGTAGACACATTCATATCAAAGGTAAAATACACACAGGCAAATCAAGGTTCTTTACACAAGTTTCAGAAATAAAAGAGTGTGTAGCACCCGAATCAAATAGTGCAACAATATCATGATGAAGGATTTTGATGTTACCTCTAATGGCATCTGGGGAGTTCATGGTGTCCTGAGTAAGAGCAAACACACGACCAGAGACAGTAGGATGTTGGGAAGGGTTCTTCATATTTGAGCCCTGGTTGTCCCCACAAAACTTTGCAATGTGACCGGGTTTCCCACAAATGTAACAGACCCAGCACTGTCCGAAATGACGACGCCCGCATTTAGTGCACTGTTGAGAGCTCGCTGTACTCGGGGCAGGGGTAGATACTGTTGGGCTCCTCTGTGACCCGTAATAACTACTATGATAGCTCCTCTGTCCTTGGCCCCTTTGAAATGGACCCTTCTGCCTTCCTTGGTTCCATGAGCTACTCGAACCCTGATGGTTTTTCTTCATAATGCCTCCGGTGGGTCGAGGGTAGGTTGGGGGTCTACTATATGAATAACCCCTCTTCTCTCTCTCAACCTCCTTCTTACTGCGAGCTACTACTTGTAGTTTTATGCACATTTCATCATAATCTCGGATATCTAGATGAGCCAATTGTTCCCTCAATTCTGGTCTAGCCTTCTCCAATAAGCGCTTAGCCTTCCATTCGGAATCATCCCTATACTGCAGGTACGTGGAGTATCTAGATAACTCCTGAAACTTAGCAATGAATGTGTCCTCATCGAGGTTCCCTTGCTTAAAGGCATGGAATTCCGCTTCCTTCTCAGACCTTAACTCTGATGGAAAGTAATGCCTGAATAATTTTTCCTTGAATTCCTCCCAGGTGAGTGTAGAATCATCCCTGGGCCCTGCTGTCTCCCACCAATCTCTTGCTCCTTTCACTAGGAGCACTAATGCTACTTGTACTTTTTGATTGCTGGTGCATGTGACTACTCGAAAGATGGATTCGAGTCTCTTCACCCATTCCTCTACCACGGATGGTTTAAGGTTACCATCAAACGTAGGAGGGTTAAACTTCCTAACAGTTTCCCACACATCAGTAATGGTCGGTGGGGCTCTCTGTTCCTCCTGCCTAATTTCTTTCCTTCTAGACTCATGATCTCTCAGAGTGGCAGGATGTGAGGAACTGCCTTCCCCCACATGACTCTCAACATGAGCCCTATCTCCATTTTCAGTTACCTTTTGCCTCTTTAGCTCCGTCAACTCTTGTTCGTATCCTTGAACCTTGTCTGTTAATGTTTTTACAAGCATTCTTAATTCCGCCAAGTCAGGCTCCTCATTTGGCAGTGGCGGTGGCAGGTGCTCATGTTGGAATCCTGAGTTACCACGAGTAACAGGCATTTTCTCTCCCCTCCTAAAGGATACAAGATATAAATAATAAAATTAGCCTAGCTATATCATGGCCATACAATGAGAAGCACCATAACAATGTATATTGCCAACCGACTATATGCTCTGATACCAATATGTAACACCCTCAAATTTACAACCGATTTTTCGCAAATTATTAAAACCATTATCATGGTAGAAAAATTTCTACCATGATACATCCAAGACAATATACCACAGGTCTTAAAATATCTCAAAAAAAATTAGAACCATGAGGGACAGACATGATCCTCATAGCATGTTATTTAAATTAGGTCATGAATCAAAAGGGACAGACATAATCCTCTTGGACATATAAATGCATTTAATAAAAAGGATTAGAGTTTACATGCTCCATAGACAAGATATGTCCTAAGTTGGCACAAGATACATTGTATAATCCAAAATAAGAGGCAACGTAAAAGATGGTGTCTCATACACCATAATTACACCTCTGGTGCTTTCTCGGCCGGATTCGCTCCTGTAAAAATATTAACCACGGGGAATGAGACTTAAAAGTCTCAGTAACCAAAAATTAATATGTAATGATGCATGCGGATGTAACTAATCATGCGATTGCTAAGTGGGCACACAAAACATTTAACCGAACAATATTTTCAAACAAACCGAACAAGTATTTAATTGCATGACTGCACCTTATATCCTCCTTTCACCATGCTCGGACGCCAAATCACCCGGCCAAAGGTGAGTTGGACCAAGCGACACGCCACTCATTGGGTCCAATGAGGGCTTACCACGTGGTAATAATTAACCGAACAGAAATTCCCATTAACACCATACATTAAAATACCCTGACAAGTCATGCATCATTCAAATATCCAAACAGGAATATATCCGAACAATAATATCTCATCATGATAAACAAAAATAAATTTTTAACCCACTTGGCAATAATTTCAAACAAGTATATACAGTATTTATTTTCAATAATTCATAATTTTTCCAAACAACAAAACAACACATAACCATTCACAAACACACTCATCACAACACATTAATAATGGTTACCTTGTGTCTTGAATAACAAGTTCCCCTTCACAACTCCTTTTTCACCACTATCTTTGTCAATATAATCTACATAATTATTTCACAATACTATATATTAATTTTACATTAAAATAAATAACTCTAATTTAAAGAGTTAGAAAGTCTTAAATCTATAGTCCATATTAACACTAATTTAAGATTTATGCCTTATTTAACTTCCAAATTCTTTTCTAAAATTCTCGTACCCTAATGAACTATTTTTTTTTATCCTCAATTCACTTCTAGTATCGCAATTTCATCCTTCTACATTCTAAAAATTCATCAAAAATAAATTAAAAATTTTAGAATTATCCTGAAGCCTCAAATCACCTTTCTATAACCTCAAAAATACCTATTCATACTTAAATAAATATTTAATAATCATAGATTTATCCCTACATCTCAGATTCCACATAAATTCAACCATATAGATCTAGATTTTAACTCAAAAATTCTTAAACATGAGTTTCAACCTTAAGAAAATATTCTATAATATTTACTATATCCCTAAGAATTTTAACCTATATTTTTAATCCATCATATCATCAGATTAACTATCCTATAGAAAAATCCTAATCAAAATATTTACTCTATCCTACAAAATAATCATATCACTAGAAAGCTAATATTATTTAGAAAATAACTATAAAATTAATTTTGTAATTAAATAAATTTTTAAATGCTAATCTAAACAGGAAAGTTAGAACATACCTGAAGAAAAAAGAAAATAATCCCCCCTTGCGAGAAAACGCCGAGCAACGTGAGAGGAAGAGAGAAAAATAATATAAAAATGGGATTGTGAGTCCCAAAATTATATTAAAAAAAAACTATAGGTTTGAATTTAATTATTCAAACCTTTGGGCCCAAAGTTGCAATTTTCTCTAAATTGCATCTTAGCCTCTCATGCTTCCTAATGCACACACCCCCTCCTTTTTATACATGAAGGCACCTCTTCTCTTCCCTCATCTAACCAATGTGGGACTTAGAAACAACAACCTTCCACCCCCCTTTTTTTTGTTCCTTCTACCTTCTCTTTTTTTTTTAACACACACATAAAAAAAATTATTTATGTATTATATCTTAACTAAATATTGCTTATGTGATTTTAAATTTAAATTTTTAAATTCATAATTAAATACCTAATCATAATATTATTTCTAAATAACCTCAAATAATATAAATTCCTATTATTATCATTTTTTTTCTCAAAACCTAAATTCCACAATTTCTTTATTATATAAAAATCAGGATGTTACAGGTTCAAGGTAAATAGCTGGTCTTTTCTTCTCCCTTTGTTTTTAACATCTAAACCAAATCATTCTCTCCTTCTTTGGTCGATGGATAGAGACCCCGTTTTTCATTGTTGTTGTTGCGTTTTAGGAAGGGTAATATTGCTTTGACTAATGTTGGAAATTATTTGATGATGAGGTTGAGCTAAACTTTACGTTTTATGATTCTGATTTTAGTATGATATTTCCCCATAATTTCTTTTAGCTCAAACTTGAGGAGAGTGGTTGTGATTTGAAATTTCTTTAAGCTTAGTTGAATTTTGGTGGGGATTTAATTTACTGAGTTAAATTGATTTGATTTATTTTGAAGAAATGAATTTAAGAGGCTGATTGATTTAAATATCTATATTGTGAAAATTTGGGAGATGGAGTCAAGGAAGAAAACAATTTAGTTGGAGTTTATGAAGTAATGCATGAAAGGTGGTTGCCCAAATGCTTATTAGGAGGAACTTTGTTTGAATATGTATTTTATGAGATTTAACTAACTCTTGTATGAGAAGCATATCTAATTGGATTGTTGATAAGTTATAAATTTAATAATAAACTTATTGGGTATGGATTTTTAGCTGTGATGTTGTTTAGAATTGAATTTAAATACCCACCAGGTGTATGGAAATTCCTTGATAAGTGAGATTAAATGTTGTAGTGAGAAAATGGAAATGTACGAGGGAGGTTTGTTTAAATGCTTAAGAGAAGGGTAAGATTGATTGATTAATATAGTTAAATTTAGGTTTATTGACAGGAAAAGAGAAATTTATATTTGGTTTAAAAGTTTATATTGTTGATAAGAAAGCTCTTAGAAATTTCATTTCAACATAAAAGTGAGCTGGTTAGTTTTAAATTAAGATGCTTGTTCTTGGATTTGATTTGGAAATTAGTTAATAAATGATTTTACAATTATGATTTATTTGTCAAAAAATTAAGAGCATCATTAGAATTAAAGTATAAAGTTAAGAGAAGCAAGCTTTAGAATTCTTGAGAATCCCTCAAGTGCGTGAGTGTGTCCCAATTATCTTAAAATTTTTCTTAAACTATCTTCATTTAATGCTTTCTTTAAAGTCTTTGTTATTATTTTCTCTGCGATTTATATAGTTCTCCCTATTTATCTTATTTTTATTCAATTGGGATATTATTGAAATTATTCTATTTTATCAAGAAGTTATGCTATTTTATCCAATATGTAATAAATTGATTATTTATTCAAAATAATCTTATTGTTTAAATTTAATGTTTGATTTGAAATCTATTTTTACAGTGATTCGTGCATAAAGAAATATTGAAAACGGAAGTTGACAGTTGAATCTTAAATTTTGAAAGGAATGATTTTTAAAGTGGATGTTTAGATCCATGCACTCTTGATTTTGATTAAGGGGATTGAGTTTAGAACATTAGTTGCTAATGATAGTTCCTTTAGCCCTTGATGTGCCATGGTACACTTAACTAGCAGGGTATTTGTAGAAGGTGCTAGCTCAATGCACAGGCCAACGCATGTGGAATAGAGGGATGGATATTTGTGAGTATCGTACTCACGATTGTTTTGTGGGCTTTATGCTTGTGTTTGTTTCATGACTTTTAACCATGCTTGATTATTTCGTGGCTTCTAGCCGTGCTTGTCAGTAACTTACCCTTCTATTTGAGATACTGTACAGAATAGGTATTGTTGTTTACTGTCTTGCCTTGTCTCAAGAATTTAGATGTAATAGCCCAAGAATTTTTAACAAAATTATAATTTATGATGAGATAATTTAAGTGTATTTTTATTAATTTTGGAGTAAATTTAACAAGATGTATTAGTGGTTAGTAGTAAACTTGCTTACTAAATACCCTCATGTTCTAGGTTCAAATCATCTTTTGGCCCAAGTGGAACATTTTATTTTATGTTTGCCCTACCTTACAAAATTACCAAAATGCCATTAAAAAGAAAGGAGAAAGTGAATCGGAAACCCAAAGAAAAACTCTCACACATAAACTTTCATCCTCTCCTTCCTCATTTTGGGGATTGTTCCAGAGCTAAGGGAGACAACTCAATCCTTCATCCTTCTATTCATCTTTTTCCATTTCTGATCGTCTATAGCTAGCAATAGTTGGAGTGTTGGCTGCCGCCGCCGCTGCTGTGGGTTTCGTTAGCTCACAATTTTTTCTTCCTCTATTTTGGCATCACACACTTTCCTTCTTCCTCTCATAGCTCCGCAACGTTACTGTCTTAGGTGAGTAGAAGAGTTCAATTCCTTCTTTCCATTCCTCCTTGGTGAGTTCAAACTCAATCTTTTTCCCTCTCAGGCTTCGAATCTATGTGATTGTAGTTGTTGAATAGGTTGCTGTAATAGGGGGAAAAACTGATTGTCTCATTGTTCTTGCTTGATGCGTAAATGGGAGAGTAGTTTGGACTAGGCAAACTGCAATTTATGTTTGAAGAGCATGAATTTTGATAAAAAATTTCCACTATAATTGTTTTGGGTTGTTGTTACTCTTGCAAGAGATAGATTAGATTAGATTAGATTAGATTTGGTTTTATTGAGTTAAAATTAATTTTGATGGCAAATCGAATTTGAGAAGCTTGATAAATTTAAATATTGATGCTAAAATTGCTGGGCGTGAGACTTTACGATTAAGGACTTGATCAAATGGTTTGGAAATTTAATGTTGAAATGTTTGATAGAAGAATTTCAGCATATGGTAGCCAAAAAAATGGCCTGGAGAAATATACTATTGTTGACTAAATTATTATAGTTGACAATTATTTGGTTGGAGATAAAGTTAGGAAATTTTAGAAAAATATATTTGGTTAATAATTCTATGTTAAAGTTTGTTTATTCTTATGACTTTTAGGTACATATATATAAAGTGTCCAATAAAAATTTTAGGGAAAGAGGTTTATGAAAATTGAATGTACATGAATGGCAATACCGATTAAATCATAGTTGTTTATTTTCTAAAGAAAGGCTTGGAAACCTTGAATGATATTTACATACGTATTCGTTGATGATTTGTTGATTTAAACTTAGCGTAGCATTTTATTTGTAAAACGTTGATGATGAGATTTTCTTTCCTAATTCTCAAAATTTGTTAAAAGATGTAACAATAATGTATGGTTAATTAGGAGTAAGTTATTTGTTTAGGAATGTCTCAGGTGAGTAAATAACGTTCAATAATTTGATAGTATATTCATTTTTTTGAATTTTTTTTATATAATATATGTATCTAATGTTGTGGTTTAATCCTGTTATTGACTATTATATATGAAAAGTTTTACTTTACATTAAATCTTGTGAACGGAATTGGAGTTTGTTTTTCAAACAAATATTTATAAGTATTACCATGCTAATATTGATTGATTTTACCAGTTAAAGAATGATTATTTATCATGATCAATGTGAAACATATTGAAATTTTTAAGATCCAGATTTAATTAAAATAATAATAAAAATAAAATATGCATAATTAAATTAAAATTAAGAATAATTTGATAAAGGCTCAAAGTTCAAATTCTACTTAGCAAAAGTTTAATTTTATTTTATTTTTAATAATGAAAAAAATTATTAAAGTTGCCCCAAGCTTTTGTGTTATAATAAAAATATTTGGGCCATTCTTTGTAATTTTTTCAAATTATTTTGTTCAGTTTTTTTTAAGGGTAAAGCATGTAGAAAACTAGATGTAACAAAGAAAGGAAAGAAACGAAACAAAGAGCAAGAACAGACGAGAGAGTGAGGGAGGGAGGACGACAAGGAAGTTAAGGCTCAGATCCAAGAGATTTTGCAGCTATTACAAGCCTGGTTACGCAATAGGAATTGTTGGTGAAACTTATTAAAAAGTTAAGGAACAAGCCAGGTCATATTTTTGTACAAGGAGAAGCTTTTTTGGTATAAAAGGGTTGAGGTAATACGAAAATTTATATTTTTTATTGCTTTGTTTAGCTATTTTGAGTAGATAATTTTATCTAGCATGCGTTACATCTTTTAAACAATTAAATGTAAACAAATATGTTTTAGGAGGGTTTATGAGGTATTATTTTAATAATAATATATTTATGTTTACTATTTATTTAATAATGATGTTATTTATGGAAATGAGATTATTAGCATACATTGTGATCATAGAGATGAAGAGTTGCAATTAAGGGTGTTCAAAACCGATCCAAACTGAACGGACCGATCCAAACCAACCCAAACCGAAAGGAACCGATTAAAACCGATCAACAATCAAGTCTGCTTCGGTTTTTAGGATAAGGAAACCGAATGGTTTGGTTCAGGTTTCGGTTTTGAAAATTAAAAACCGAACCAGACCTGATTAACAAAATATTATTCATTTATTTATAAAATATGTAACCTTAGTTTCAATCCAAATAAACCCAAACCCCCTTATGCCTTACCCAGCCCATTACCCAATAAATAATTAGTAGCCCACTTCCCAAGCCCAAATGAGATCAGGAGAGACCATCAGGCTCAGTCAAACTAAACTTCACGTCATGCTCATGCTCACGCCTCAGTCCTCACGGTCACGGATTCATCACATCACGGAGTGGTTCAGCTTCAGCCTGGCCAGAGAGAGTCACGACTCACGAAGACACGAACGACTCACGACCTACCTTCCCTTACGTGTGGCTCACACTTTAGGTTTAGGTTTCCTTAATGCTTGAGCCAGGCTTGCACAATACGCATCACACAGATAGACACACACAGACTACAGAGAACCTCAGAACCAAGCCAAAGACGACGCAGAGCCAGAGATAGACAGAGTCAGTCTTGGACGACCAATGACGGACACAAACGCAAAGTCCAGTACCCAAGTCACACACAAGCCACAGTCGTCGGCCACTCATAGCGTTGCACACAAGCCACAGCCGTCGCCCGTCGATCACTCACAGCGTTGCAGACCAAAGAGTTCGTCACAGAGCAAAGTTCACCGTCGGCTACTCAAGTTCGGTTTTCACTTTCTGCAGTTCCACTTCCAAGTCGCACACACTCACACAGGCTACAGCCGTCAGCCACTCGCGGCATCCCAGAACAGAGTCTACTCGAGTTTAGCTTCTACAGTTCCACTTCCAGGTTCGAGCCACAGTCTGAATCACTTTCTGCATTTTACTTCCCTATCTCAGTTGCCTGGACTCTGGAGCTTCGGTTGGTGTAATAATCTTGTTTCCTAATCCTAGCCGTTGCCTAATTACCTTGCCACTATTCTTATTCTTATCTTGGTGTTTAGGTTGACTTAGATTTATAAGTTATATGATGCGTTTGTTGATCAAAGATTGTTACCTAATTAGGTTGACTTGCTCTGTAATTGATAAAAGATTATTGCTTTGATTTTAAAACAATATAAGTAAGTGGGACTGTGGGGTAGACCGGTAGAGCAAAGAGACCAAGAGGGACCACTTAGGTAAGCTTTGATTTTGTTTTGATATCATATCAATGATATGCACATGAATACAATAGGTAATAGAGTAAACATAATTTTTAACTTTTTTAATAAAGAGGATAGCATATTGTCTTTTTAATAGAACAACTTAATTTAATTTACTTTATTAAATTATCTTTCCTTTCATAATATAATGCAGGATTATTTGTCTTTCTTGAAAGGCCACTTGCACAGTGCATATCCTAGAGTTTCAATATGAGTAAAAATGAGGTAAATGTTTTATATGGTATTTTTTTTACAAAAAGCATTTAGTATCATATTTGATTGATATAATTGCTTATGTTTTTTTCAGCAAGAAACATATATGGAGTTGATGGATGTTCATGATGATGATGAGCAACCTAAGAATAACAAGCCGGAATTGATTAACAATGCTCATGTAACTATGGATTCAAATCAACAAAAAGAGAAAGAGAAAGAGCAAGAGAAAGATCAAGAGCAAGAGAAAGACAAAGGTGAAAAGCAACTAGAAAATTCAAAAGTTACAGGTAAAAGAAAACCAACTAGACCTGAATCTTGGGTATGGAGTCATTTTACTTTGATGGAGGGTTGTGATCCTGAATTTCCAAGGGCCACATGTAATTGGTGTGGCTTTGATTATGCTTGTCATAAAAAAAGAAATGGCACTTCTAACATGGCAACACATTTAGAAGAAAGATGCAAGAAATTTGGTGCTAGAGATACAGATCCTAAACAACCTAAACTTTCCTTCCAACCAAAAAAAAAGAAGAAGGAGAAGGTTGTGGAACTAGTTTGAAGGGGGTGACATTTGATCTTAATTCTTGTAGGCAAGCTCTTGCTAGAATGATAATTATTGATGAGTTGCCTTTTAAATTTGTTGAGAATGAAGGTTTTCAATATTTCATGAGTATTGCACAACCTCTATTTCCCCTTCCATCACGTACTACAGTAGCTAGAGATTGCTTGAGTCTTTACTTGTCTGAACAAGCTAAGTTGAGGAATGTATTTTGTAAATCAAAACAAAGTGTTTGTTTGACCACTGATTGCTGGACATCTTTACAAAATATGAATTACTTATGCCTCACTGGACATTTCATTGATGATGAGTGGAAATTGCATAAAAGAATTTTGAACTTTTGTCAAATTGCTGATCATAAAGGTGAAACTATTGGTGAATTGATTGAGAAGTGTTTGTTGAATTGGGGAATTGATAGAGTTTTTACAATTACAGTTGATAATGCCTCAAGTAATGACACTGCTATATCTTATGTTAAAGATAGGATACTTGATTGGAATGGGCACATTATGAAAGGAGAATACATGCATGTTAGATGTTGTGCACACATCTTGAATTTAGTTGTTAATGATGGGTTGAAAGAGATTGGTGATACTTTAACAAGAATTAGAAATGCAGTTCGATATATTCGTGCATCACCATTACGGTTCCAAAAGTTCAAGTCTTGTGTAGAGCAAACAAGAATTCAAGAAAAGGATATTGTGAAGTTAGATTGTCCTACAAGATGGAATTCTACTTACATGATGCTTGAAAGTGCCTTGAAATTTCAAAAGGCATTCAAGAGATTAGAAGAAAAGGATACTACTTTTGCAATTGATAAGGAAGGACCCCCAACCATAAAGGATTGGGAAAATGCACGTGTTTTTGTCAAATTCTTGAAAATATTTTTTGATGTCACCAAAAAAGTCTCTGGCTCATTGTATGTTACATCTTCTCAATATTTTCATGAGTTTTGCTTGGTAGTAAAGACTTTGAATGATATGTGTCTAAGTGATGATCCTTTATTGAATTCAATGGCAAGGAAGATGAAACAAAAACATGACAAGTATTAGGGGAATGTTGATAATTTGAATATGATGATCTTTATAGCTGTGGTACTTGATCCTAGGTACAAGTTGAAATTTGTGGAGTAGAGTTTGAAAAAACTCTACGATGAAGATATGGCTGAATATTTCACTAGGCAGGTGAAAGAGTTGCTCTTCAAGATGTATGATAGATACAAGTCTTTTCATGGCCTTAAAAAAAGTTCAACCAATACTCAATCCCAAGTGAAGGAAGGTGTTTCCTATGATGATGGTGAAAAAGATTCATTTGCAATGGAGTTTGATAAAGTTATGAATGAAGATGATAATGTTGAAAATCAATCAGAGTTGGACCTCTACTTGATGGAGACTAGAGAAAAAACAAATCCCAAATTTGACATACTTAATTGGTGGAAAGTGAATTCATCTAAATATCCTGTCATTGGACAAATTGCTAGGGATGTATTAGCCATGTCTATCTCCACTGTAGCTTCTGAATCTGATTTCAGCACTGGGGGTCGTATACTAAATGAGTATAGATGTTCATTGGGTATCAAGATAGTGGAAGCCCTTATTTGTGCAAATAATTGGTTTCGATCTACTCCATTAGCAAGTGATGTTGAAGAGAAGGTGGATGAAATTGAGAAAATAGAAATTGGTAATATTTTTACAATTGAAAAGTGATGTTTATTTAGTTTAATTATTTATTAGATTATTCATTGCTTTGACAATTTGTTTTATTATTATAGATCTTGGTGTTGTCACGTTGAATGAAGATGATGATAATTAGCTATCAAGATCTTCTAACCTCTTTTTGTATATGTAATTGGTAATATTTTTATAAATTAAAAGTGATATTTATTTAGTTTAATTATTTATTAGATTATTTATTGCTTTGATAATTTGTTTTATTATTATAGATCTTGGTGTTGTCACTTTGAATGAAGATGATGATAATTAGCTATTGTAACATCTCAATTTAAATTTTAATAGTTAATTTGGGTTAATAGAAATTTAAAAAATATTTAGAGGTAAATAAATTAGTAGAAAATGATTATTAAATCTAACTTAGGATATAATTCTAAAAAAAATAATAAATAAAAATAATAATAATAATAAAATATTATTAAATTATTATTATTATTATAAAAAAAAACAAAAGAAAAGGTGTAAAAACAAGAAAGGAGAAAAACAAGGAAACTTTCGGCCGCCGTACATGAACAGTAAAATAAAATAATAAAAAAAAAGAAAGAAAGAAGAGAGAGAAAAGAATAAAAAAATGTGTGGGACCCACTGAATTTTTATAAAACTCACCCGTTTCCTTTCATTTCTTCAATTCTTTTCCTGCGCGCAAGCTGAGGCGGAGAGAAGCGAGTTGCCGGTGCGAAATATCTAAATTTTTAAGGTAAGAGTTTTTAATAGGATATTTAGGGTGTGATTTTAAGCTTTTTAAGACTAAGTAAGTGTTCTGAAAATTTTTCTTAGTCATCCTTCTTCTTTAGTTTCTGAGTTTGTAGTGGTAGAAAATTTAAGATCTGGAAGAGGGATGAATTTATGTTGAATAAATATAGTTTTTGAGGTTGTCAGTAGTATAATAAATGTTCTAGAGTATAAATTTGTTGATGATCTTTGAATCTGTGGCTTATGGATTAAATTCTAAACTAGATCTGAAAATATATGTTGATTTATTGAGGTTTAGATGATTATTTGGGATGAGAAATGAATTATTATGGTTATAGGATTATGATTCTAAGCTAGAGACTTAATTTTTAATTTTTGGGTATTTTAGGTACGAATTTATAAAATAAAAAGAAAATTTTGATAATAGAAATTAGTTTAAAATTTGATTTTTAGATTATTAATGTTTATTGATAATTAAAAGAGGAGTTAAAAATTTTACTTAATAGTATTAACTATAGATTTGTATTAAGATTGAAATTAGGAATTATATTATATTTTTAATTCTATTATTAGAATTATTTTATTAGTTTCAAAAATTGAAACTAATATTTATAAATAATATGTTATTTGTAGATTGTATTACTGGTGAAGATTGTGGTGAGAGAGAAATTTTAAGGAATAATTTATTGAAAAAGCCACAAGGTAACCATGCTTTTAACTTGTGATTAGTGTTACTTCATGTTAATTGGGTGATTATTGAGAAAATTATGAATTTTGTAATATTGTATAATTGTGCAATATTATTATGAATTGTTTAATTATTGTGGGAGGTGTTGGGAGACTTGCTATTGTTGTTGTATTTATGTGCCACGTGGTACACCCCTATTGGAGCTCAATAGGTGGCTTGTAAGGGCTCGGGCTAATCTACCTTTGGCCGGGTAATTTAGCACCGAGTGAGGACTACGGCTCGAGGTTAATGGAGGGATATAAGGATGGTTGTTTGTGTTTATTATAATATTTCTTATATTTGTTGAAATTATATTATTTTTAATTCTCACTTAGTAAGCACACACTTAACTGTTTGTATACACTATCATAAATTGGCTTTGGTTACTGGGACTTTTGAGTCTCATTATGTGGTTAACAATTTTCAGGAGAAGAGCCACGAGTGACACGTGGAGGAGTCCCAGAGGCTTAGTGGTATAGATCACTGTCTCTTTTGGGTATTTAATTTATGATTTATAATGTGTTATATTGCCAATATTAGGGCTTTTTGTTTATTGTCAATTATATGAATATATAAATGTAATCATGCCTTTCAAACTATTTCTACTTTTAGTACAATTTGGATGACTGTAATTTTAATATTTGGTTTACTTTGGATTGGTTAAAATGGCATGATTATAAGGCCAAATAACTGGCTTGTGTTGAAAATTTATTAAATTGCTTATTTTACTTGTTGGGAGTATAAGGATGGACAAATGTGATTTAGTTTACTTGTTGGGAGTATAAGGATGGACAAATGTGATTTAGCCTAATGGCATGTGGGAGGTAAAAATTTATCTGAAATGTTAATTATAAAATATTTTATATTGAAATTATTGATATAAAAATGTGTTGGGTGGCTGTAACCCAACTATGGTTGAGTTAAATTATTTAAAAAAAAATTTTGGTGTGTTACAATTTTTGGTATCAGAGCTTCATGGTTCCAATTCTTATAAATTATGAAATTGTTATACATTAACTTAGTTATTGGCAATATACATTATTAAATCGTAATACTTCTGCATTATTTTTTTCTTGTCTTGAGATTAGTGTTAACTTAATTATGTGACTTCCATCCTTTAGGAGGGGAGAGATGGTGTCCAAAACTAGGAGAGGTGGTGAAATTATCGGTGCTTCTATAGAGCCAATAGGAAATGACATACCTTCACTGCCACAACCAGAGCCCACACAGCAACAAATCGGGCAGGGCGAGCCTATACAGTCACAACTAAGGCAGGATGAGCCAACTATGAGGCAAATGATGGATTTACTATATAATCTTAGTGACCGCATGAAGAGACAAGAAGAAGAGTTGGCCGCTTTAAGACAATATAAGGAGAATTCCAACCGAGAGGGAAATGGCCAACAAGAAGGAAGCCATACCAAGGTATTAAATGCGAGCCAATCTGCTGATGAAGGCTCACCTCCCTATTCTCACCATGAGACTAGTCCGAAGAATGTGAGTCTTCACTCTAAGCAACAGACATCCACGATCACAAAGATCTGGAATACTTTTCGTAAGTTTAATCCTCCTACTTTCGATGGAAATCTTAAGCCAGCGGTGGTTGAAGAATGGATAGATCAATTGGAGAGTATTTTTCGTATGGTTGTGTGCACTTCTAATCAAAAGGTGCAGCTGGCAATATTCCTACTACAGAAGAGTGCTAAGAAATGGTGGGAAACATCAGGACCGAAGGATGATTCCTCTCTTACTTGGGAAGATTTTAAAGCCATATTGTTCGAGAATTATTTTCCTACTGCACTAAGAGCAGAAAAGGAGGCTGAGTTTCATGCATTTCGTTAGGGTGATCTAGATGAGGATGAATTTATTGAACAATTCTTAGAATTATCTAAATACTCCACTTACCTCCAAAAACATGAAGACACGGAGTGGATGGCTGAACGATTGTTAGAGAAGGCGAGGCCTGATCTAAGGAAATAGTTAGCCCCTTTTGAGATCAAGACATTCAGTGAGATGTGCAATAAGCTTCGAATAGTTTCTCGGAGGAAGAGAGAGGCTAGATTAGAAGCTGATAGAGA